TCTTATATTATAAATATATATATTATTATGATATTTAAACGAAAATAATTCAAGGAATTTACATCATTATATTATTATTTTGTTTATACTTGCATACTATTCATTACTATACTCTGTCCAGCGAGAGAACGTGCCGCGCACCGACCAAAACTGGTTCCCCCACACAACACTCTGCCATAGGGGAACCGGTTTCGATAGCAAGGAGACGCGGGGAAATGCGCAGAATCGGCCCGTTCTCTCGCTGGACAGAGTATAGAGCTATAATTTATTATTTGTACACGTCTAATGTCTATTAGTGATAAGTCACGTTCGGTACTCTGAAGTGTTCGACGTTCGGTCATCTATTTATATTTTATAATATTCCAAACATAATAGTATATTGTATACGCAATTCAAATACTAAATAATAATAATAATAATAATAATTAGGTATGTTGAAAAAAACCACGGTAGGTATTGCTCTGGGGCCGACGTCGACACATAGTCGTCCGACGTACCTACTTACGTATCTACGGAACCGATTTCGCCCGGATTCTCGGGCAACGCTTGCCAAATACTACGAGGCACTCGACGTGAATAGCCAATAGTTCCCTCTAATATCCTGTAGTGGATCACATATTATGTGTGAGGCCGTTACATGGTATAATATAGTTGAGTATAAATAATAAGCAAATATAGATGTAGACAGTCCTGTAAAGTATTTGAGTAAAAGTATTCAAATACTTTTTTAAGTATTGAATAACTTTTTAAATACTTTCAGCATGAAGTATTTTGAATGGTATTTTAAATACTTTTTTTTTGTATTAAATACTTTTTGGTATTGAATACTTTGGTTTTTTATTTCGAACATTTTATTTTTATTCGAAATAATTTTAGAAATTTTAGAATGAATTAAGAACACAAAATAGGTAGTATCACCAATGGGTGGTTTCTTCCCTCAAAAAAAAAATCATACGCAAATACCCTATGCACATTTGCTTATTGTTCTAGTTAAGAACAGATAGTAAATTGCATGTAAAAATAAAAAAAAAATGTAATAAATATTTATTTAATAAATAATATATAAAAATGATGTTAATTTTACTACCTATGTGTCTATATTACAATAATTAGAAACCCACTTTAAAAACCAAAAGTATTTGAAAAGTATTTCAAATACTTAAAAAAAAATGTATTTGAGTACTTACTCAAGTACTTTTCAAAAGTATTCTTTACAGGACTGGATGTAGATAATAATAAGGAAGAACTGAAGAAGGCTTACACAGTATAGTCATCCGGGTACACATAATATATTATGTACACATTGTAATATAATATAAGAGACACATAATGTTAAGTTGGTTAGTTCTGGGACCAGTACAGCTACCCGCTAATCCACGAACTCCGGAGGGCGATACTGTAAGTAAGTCTTTCGATATTTAAGTAGTTTATAAGTATCCGTATATAATAAGCGCTGTATACGTATTGAATAATTATTGTATGTGTAAGGATATTGTGTATGTAGTTTAAGAATATTGTGTACCGTGTACGTAATAATTGTTGTGTAATAATAAACATGTTCACTTAAGCTTGATATTTGACTAAACTTTCCTGAAGCTCCCGAGTTACGGTAAAAATATAATTCATAGGGCTCTGAAAACCCTCACTGAATTATTTAAATATAACAGGTTCTCCAACCCCGTTACAATCCAAAACTGAAAACTAACAGTAGGTACGAATAGGTATCGAATGTGATGTACTGATGTCATTATTTTTCAGACTAAAATATACGATTTGAACAAAATATTTTTCTCATAATGTATTTTCAGGATAAAATATTTTTCTAATAAAATATGATCACGATGAAATATTATCAACCCGACAGTTTAATTAAGATAAAGTGTTGAAAATTCCGAAAATCAAATTTTCGTATTTCTATCAGTTCCGTAGGTAGTATTGTGACAGTGTGCATAAAAAAAAAAATGTCATTTTCAAGTGCATAATTATTGCGTTGAAAAGACAAGGGGAATTTTTATTTATTTCTTAGAACATTTTTTGATAGTTTTTAATGCATTTAATTTATACTTCATTATTTTTACTTTATTTATATTTTTACTGTAAACTGCTTCAATAAGCCGTATTACTTGAATTACGAAACCATATTTTGTTCACTAGGGCGCCCTCTTCTTATCCGAATTTTATACAAATAAAAATTAAAAACTACTTTTGTTCTTCAAGGAATACGGCTTATTGAAGAGGTTTACAGTATAAATACCTATTATAAAAGTGGTAGAGGAGAATTTTTTTATCAATCGTAATAAATCCGATTTTTGATATCGTATTCCAATCGTCCAATATCGCATGGTAAATTAACATATTTTTTTTTTTTTACTTTTTATCGATTAATTATTTAATTTATTAATAAAAATATAAAAATCGAGCTTATTTCGATTGTTAAAAAAATTCTTCTCTACAATCTTAATCATGATTCATCACTTACGACTTACGTGAGGTTATGCTTATACACCTAACATGAATGAAGGTATCTATCATGTTCTACACTTTAGTAATGTGTAAAAATATTAATACATATGTCAATTACAATAAGATTTTTAGAATGTTATTATTTCACATTTTACCTACCTACCTATAAGTTATAACCTATGTACCTTCAATTATTTGGAAATCACTTAAAATAAAAATATCGACGAAAAATCTTTGAGAGAATATACCTAGATAATATTATAATTATTATTTTTAAGCATATGTAGCGCATGTATTTTTTAAAATGTTTTATTTATTAAATAAATGTTTTTATTTCGAATGCCACCAGCGAGATTTTTAAAAATATCGAGTGGCCTGCTACCAAAAAGTTTTAAGACCCATCTAGATCAGCCTACCAGCTACCTATATTATATTATAATGAAATATCGTACATAATATACTGACAACATATTTATAAAATAAAAATAAATACATTTTGATCATTACGAAAGAATGATAAATTAGTATATTATATTAGTGGCGGCTCGTGTATGGCGTCAGGAGCAAGTGAACCAAACAAAAAAATAATTCGATTTCTATGGTAACATATAATTGGATATTATGCATAGGTATGGTCTGTAATAAAAAAAACGTTTTTGCAGTTTTTCATGTTGAGAACTGAGAAGTGTGTCTAACGATTAAATAATTCGGGGAGCACAATTAATTGTCTGTACTCCGGGCGGCCGTGTAAATGTTACATGCCTCGAGACGTCGGTTAGCAATATAATATATTATGGTTATATAATATATATTACCATATTATGGTAGTTTGGAGCACATACTATTATAATATGTATGTGTGCACCGAAGTGTTCACGTATGTGTCGGGCAAGCCTGGATGGTGCTGGGCAGGCACGGAACTAGAATTTTTTTCCAGGGGGGGCAGAGTGGGGCAAATATTTTTTTTACATGGGCTAAAATTGTTTCAACAAATGCTGAGGTTATTTAAATGAAATATAAATATTTTCGTATCATATAACATAATATAGCTATATAGTACATACGTTTTATATTGTATGCAGTGGCGGAACTAGGGGGGTGAAGCCGGGGATTGATCCCCGGGCGTAAAATTTTAGTGGGCGTAATTTTTCTTTAGTTCTTTATTTAATGCTTGGTGATTGAAGTTAAGAAAACATTTTTATTTCACATTATTTGTTTATGATGTTGGAGTGATGACGTTGGAATTAATGAAAAAAAAAAATAAAGTTAATGGTATTATGAATAGAATATAGATTCGTATTAGTATACTAAGTACCTATATACTGGTATACTGACATTAGCATACCTACTGCAAGCATATACAACTAATATACTATAATTATTAAGATTCTGAGTGAAAATGTAACTAGTAACTATACTTATAGGCATTTATTGATGCTGTGTTTTCGTTAAAATTTCTGATACCTACACAATAACTGTTATAGGATTATCAATCAACGTACGATACGTATATTATATCTGTATATTAAAAATTATGTTAATATAATAAATTATAGTTTTTTTATTGATCTTAAGCTTCGGCAACTATGGCCATTAGCTGTAATATATAGTTTATAATATTTACCAAGATAGTTATACATTTGTTTATGTTTAAAAAAAAAAGATTTGATTTTAAATATTTACTTTTTCATTTTTTCTATTATAAACTGTTTAATTAAATACAATTTTTTACTGGCCTAAATTGTGTACCCTAATCAGAATAAAAGATTTTATATTTTACCATAAAAATCCATTATAATTGAAGGCTGAGGCGCATAGAACCAAAACAGCAAAAGGGTTTATAATTTTTATACAGCTAGGATAGGTAGGTAATTAAAGTTTTGATTATTTTTCAACATTTATATATAACTAATATTATTATTATTATTTCTAATAATAAATACAATTAAGTAACCACTACAGTATTTCCAGTAATTAAAAATGTATCAACAATATGTTAACTAAGTTTTTAAATTCAAAGTGTTTTTGGTGTGATAGTTTATTAGTATAAACTTGGTTACACCACAGCCCACAGAATATATTAATTACTATATATTATTATGTGTTTAAAAGTTAATAATTATGTTTGTAATTTTAGTTCCAGTTATGATAAAACAATTGTAGGGAATGATATTGTATTTTCAATCTTGGTCTATGATTGGGCTTAATTTTAATATTTTCCCCGGGGGTAAAAATTCTTAGATCCGCCTCTGATTGTATGCTCTAAACGTCTAAACATATAATATTTACAAACTTTTGAATAGTTAAAAATGTTTTAAGAATAATATCAAATATTTTTTTTGTACCTTATGTAATATGTAAGAAAATGTTTAATCACAGACCTATGACTTTCAACAACTATATTCATAATGATAACATGATATACAAAAATAATAATTTCTTTATGAGCTAAATATTGATTTTTTATACAATATCTGTTTATGCACCATACAGTAAATGATTGAAAATCTTATAATGCTAAATTCCCAAATGGGAAAATGGTAACAGCATCAACCAAAATTAAGTATTATTATATTAAATATTGTTGTGTGCATGGAGGATGCCACAAAAAAAAAAAAAATACTTTAGACCAACGTGTCACCTCGTAAGTACATTTATAGTTCATACATATTTTATTTTATATTACTTAGTTACAATATATGAAATATATAAATAAATTTGTATTCAAATGTTTAAGTACAATGCGCCAAGGTTGTGAAGCTTTTATATATTTAAAAGCTTCAGCAAATGGACAACAGTTAGAAATAACTAAAATGGACGAGACTCATAACCACGAGACCTCAAAAATATTGTACAGCCATGTTGGAGCCTATGTTCTAGACAACACAACAGAGGTTTCATGTAGTTGTCTCTTTTATAAATCAATGAGATTGCCATGTAAACATATATTTCACACTAGACAACTTCAGAACAAACCATTATATGACCTAAGTTTATGTGATACAAGATGGACCAGAGATTATTACTATAAAAATCAAAGAGTGTTTAAAAATGTTGAGATTGTTCCCACTGATAGCGATACTACAGTTACAATATTGCACAAAAAGAAAAACCAAAATAAATTTTGTCGAAAACCGATTTTGCATAGAAATTCCCGTTTTTCTATAATTTTTACATGGTTTTTCAGGTTGCTTTTGAAATCTATTGGCAATTGTAAAACAGGCCCTAAGTCCATGATATATATTTTCAAATATCTTAAACCGTGGCGCGTAAACGGAGTGAATGATAAGTGATAACTGATAAGGTCTGTACTAGTGGCGGTAAAATTCTTTTGTCTTGTTGGTGCGTCGGTTTTGTCCAGCCACCGCGGGGAGCGGACATGTTGTATTTTACATGTTCAAAGGCGCCCACCGCTCTACAGTTGCCGCAGATTGTGTAAAATATTATTTTTCAGACCGAAAATCCAGAGTTCTACCTTTTTAAAAATTAAGTGTTATCAGCTTTAAGTTAACTAACAGCTCAAATTATTTACACTTTACAGTGGAAAGAAGTAAGTATTATGAGTAACTGTGTTGCTATTAGTAAAAGTATCATGGAACTTCAAGTTGCAATAAAATATGTACATCTATTCAACAGTTTATAACTAGTTTATACTTTACACATGTAAATAAAAATGTAATACTTAATTGAATGTAATCTATGCAGGTATGACAAAACTTAATTAGAATTAAGTTTGGTATAATTACATAATTCGTCTACAATATACATACTTAACTACTGATTAAACACAACTCAGCTATAGATATAGATATATATCTGGCTATCTAGAATAGCTGTGATAGACATTCTCATAATATAACTAATCACTGTTGATCACTTATGTAAACTATTATATTTTAGTATTGTCTATGATTATAACTTTATCAGTACAATATACTTCTTCATATCTAAATTATATTATGAAAAGTTATATATTTTTGTGCTTTCCGTTGATCTTTTATTTGCTATTGCAACTATAAATAATAATTGGAATTTATTTTTTTCATTTTTTATTCAAATTTTCTGCTAGATACAAGTTGTGTCTATCAAATACTGAATCCACTCCCCACCATATGATAAATTTGACATAAAAGATACATAATTTGAATGGTTCGTGTTCATTGTTCACAGTAATTAAAAAAACATAAAGAGGATATAAAATATAGTATGGCAATGTCAAGAACAACAATAAATGATTCTACGACAAATCCCAAGTAAGCGTATACACTTTTAATGTAATATGTATTACAAAAATTATGTAATTTTACCCTAAATGTTGAAGAATTGTATTTTATTAAACTAACAGTTTATTTTTATAACTTATGTATTATGTACATTGATATAATTTAAATAATAATTACCAACTTATCTAATAATATATAATTATTTTTCTTGGAATTTCTTTTAGATGTGATCAAAACGTATTGAATAAGTTTATTAAAGAAGAATTTTCACAAATAGACCATACTAATGAACAATTACAAATTGGGTAAGAATTGTATTTACCTTATAGTATAATATGAATTTTAATGATATCTAACAAGGGCCAGATTGGTATGTATCGGCCCATCGAGATTTTCACTTCTATAAGCGGCTCATTTACATATTTAGTGACCCAAAATCTATAATTATTACAAGCTTATAGGTGGCCAATCGTCTTTTAAACATGATTTTATTTTCACTCACACTCACACAACCGGCACAGCGAGATTTTCTCGGTAGCTGGACTAACCAATCTGGCCATATACCTAACCTATAAACAAAAATATTGAATATTGCCTTAAGCATAAAAATCTTGAGCATTAAATATTTAAAATTATCAACTTATTTACTTTCTACATCTTGTTATCAAGAATAGCAAATATTGATTCTTCGACAAATTCCAAGTGAGAAAATATACTTTTAGTGTAACATTACAAAGATATGTAATTTTACCCTAAATTTTGAAACAATTTTATTTTCTTAAACTAATTAGTTGTTTTTATAATTTATGTATTATGTACATTGATATAATTTAAAAAATAATAACCTACTTATCTAATAATAAATAATTATTTTTTTTTGCAATTTTCATTTAGGTGTGATCAAGACTTATCGAATTCGTTTATTAAAGAAGAATTTACACAATTAGACCATACTAATGACCAATCACAAATTGGGTAAGAATTGTATTTACCTTATAGTGTAACATGAAATTGAATGATACTTAACCCATAAACAAAAATATGTAACGATTTATAGATCATAATATTTTAACATACATTTATACAGTTATATACTTTTTTTGTAATCAAATACAGTTCATAATAAGTTTGTGGGAAATAAATATCAAAGGATTAAAAGATAACTTATAAGTCATTTTTTTTTTTATTAATATTGATTAATTTTTGAATAAGTTTGTATCATAATTTATACATGCGTTTAGACTTGAATTTTTACTTATATATGCCAACGTTACACAAAATTATTCGTTCTCAATAATACTTTTTTTTTTTCGTATCAGTGGTTAATCAACATTTTTGTTTAGCAAACTATGCAAAATATGAGTATATAATATGTAACATGTAAAAATTAAAACAAACTTTGCAATAACCCCAGACTTAAGATAATAGTCAAATTAAAAAATAGTGTTAATAGTAGTCTAACTTAGTTTTAGTAACAATACTAATCTTGACAGGTATAAGTTAGTACTATACTTAAAAAAAATTGAACATTTATAATAGTTAATTAGTAGTATGTAATTCAAATTTAATTATTGATCACACATCTCCTAGAAATTTTTTTTTAAATTGTTTGTTTTATTTACACAAACATTAATAAATAATTTTACAGTTAAAAATATTAATAAATAGTTAATTTATTTTGTAGTCTGTTGAAATATAAAAACCTAATATTATGTGAAGCAATAATTTTTTTTTTCACTGTTGCCATTTGAAAATGTAATTGAAGATAGCAATATGAATATAATTTTAATATACAGGATCTTCCAAATTATATGTGATAATAGATTTCAGTATGTTTTATTTAAATTAAGAAAAATGACGCATGTCAATCCGATTTGGAATCACAATAATATATTTTATAGATGAATAATTGTATTTTCACTTACTTTATGAATTTGTGTAGATTTAGGTATAATATTTATTGCTGTGGACTTTAAAAAATGTTTGTGGCTTACAAAATCCAAACAGCTTAAGCAAAGTAGTTATTTTAATTACTAATTCTGAATAATATGGAAATAAAAATAGAATGCACACTAGTTATAAAATTGGAGAATAATGTAATATGTCACATTAGTATTTTATCAACAATACTAGCTTAAATGGTTATAACTCCTGGAAGTAGGCAAAATATTGATATTGTAAGTTTGTAACTTGATGTATTTATTTATTATTTAAAGCAACCAATATTTAGTTAATATGCTCAAATTTATTAAAAAGGTGAACGGTTATGTTAGGTTTTCAATTTATACATGTAGGTTAATCCATGTATAAATTAACTATACCTATATATTAATCATAATATTTAAACAAACATTAATATAGGTTAGTCTATACTTTTTTGTAAACAAATTTGATTCTCATTTCCACATTTAAATACAATATATATGTATATAGATTTCATATAATATAATAATTATTGTTATATTTCCGCTTTAAAAAAAAGTGTAAATTAAATTGTGGAATTTTAAACTTCTGGATTTTCTATCCAAACCTTAATAAAGATTGCTGTTGATTGCAGTTTGTTTTTGTTCAAACTTCTTTTTCTAGTGTATAATTTTTATAATTTGAATAATGAATGTAAAAATCATCTTGTATATTATCATCTTGTTAATATGGGTAATAATCTCAATAATTTTATTTTTTAGAACTATATATGAAGCTGAAGTAAAGTCAACTGATAAAGAAATTAAAGTGGAAAAAGATTTTATAGAGAGTTTTGCTTTTCAAGGATCAGTGGAATCAATTAATAGTAAAAACAATTTAACAGATTTCAGAACTCGTTCTATTCCTTGTGATACCGACAAACATTATTCAGGAAAAAAAACCTATGAATGTGATATTTGCAATCTAAGGTTTACTTATCCAAGTCAGTTAAAAATTCATGCCGTAAAACACACTTTAGTAAAACCTTTTAAATGTGACATCTGTGGTAAAAGGTATATTTATAAATCAAATCTAAAATTTCATGCAAAGTCCATACACCTTGACAATGTAGAAAAATCATTTAAGTGTGATATCTGTGGTATACAGTTTCATATGAATTGTCGTTTGACAAGTCATATGAAAATACATACAGGTGAAAGGTCTTTTGCATGTGACTTTTGTCCTAAAATATTTACTGAAAAATGTAATGTTGAAAAACATATGAAAACAATTCATAATAGAGAAAACCAATATTTAAAATCACATACAAAAATACACACCATAGTAAAATCTTTTGAATGCAGCGTCTGTTTGAAAAAATTTTGTTCTAAGAGTGTTTTGGATATTCATATGAGAATACATACCGGAGAAGCCCCATATAAATGTGATATCTGTTCTAGATCGTTTTCTATAAAATGCAATTTAAAAATGCATTTAAGAACACATACAAATGAAAGGCCTTTTGAATGTGACATTTGTTCTAAAACATTTATTTCAAAAAGTTATATAAAAAGACATATTCTATTAAATCATAACTCATATTAGATAAAATCGATATAAATGTGATATATTAGATAAATTATTTTTGCTTGCATCAGCTTTAGTATGGCATACAAGGATTGAAGGATACATACTGAAGAAAGCCCATATAAATGTGATATCTGCTTTTCTAGAATTTACTCGTGGAGATCATTTTCAAAGTCATACGAAGATGCATACAAATATAAAGACATCTTAAATGCAATATCAGTTCAAAAACATTTACTGTAAAATCAAAGCGGAAATTTCAGAGAGCATGTCATACAACAAAAAGCAGGATGGATCGGATTTGTCATCTGGTATTAACTAACTGATTTTTCCATTAGAAATTAATTCCCGTTATAGGGAAACTAAAATATAATGAATATCGATTTTTTGGGACAGTTATATTTAATTTTAAAAAGATTTACTTCTTTTTGGGTGTCAATTATAAGGTTTTATTTTATTTCTATTGAACTTACTTTTGAAAATTGTTTTATGTTATCAGTTAAAAATATTTAATAAATATTTTTAAATTATAAGACACCTTAAATTCAATTTTTTGAGTAGAAATTAATGTATAGAATAAA